GGGGGGGGCTGAACCCCGCGGCCCCCCCAGGTCCCCCCCCCGGCGACCTGGAGCCGTCGGACATGTAGTCGACCTCCTGGCCCTCGAAGTCGCCGTCGTCGCTGTCCTCGAACGCCTCGTCGGCGTCGGAGCCCTTCTTCTTCCTCTTCCTCTTCCTCTTCTGCCCCGGGGGGGGCTTGGAGCGCGAGCGGGGCGGCTTCTCGCCTGCGGGGCCGGACAGCCACCAGGGGGCCATATAACCACCATGGGGCCATATAACCACCACCATAGGGCCATATAACCACCACCATGGGGCCATATAAACACCATAGGGCCATATAACCACCATAGAGCCATATAACCACCATGGGGCCATATAACCACCATAGGGCCATATAAACACCACCATAGGGCCATATAACCACCACAGGGACATATAACCACCACCATAGGGCCATATAAACACCATAGGGCCATATAACCACCATGGGGCCATATAACCAACATGGGGCCATCTAACAGTCACTATGGGGCCATATATCCACCATGGGGTCACCATAGGGCCATATATCCACCATGGGGTCACCATAGGGCCATATATCCACCGTGGGGTCTCTATGGGGCCATATATCCACCATGGGGTCACCATAGGGCCATATGTCCACTATGGGGTCTCTATGGGGCCGTATGTCCACCATGGGGCCATATATCCACCACAGGGCCATATAACCACCATGGGGCCATATAACAGTCACTATGGGGCCATATAACCACCACGGGGTCACCATAGGGCCATATATGCACCGTGGGGTCTCTATGGGGCCATGCTATGGGGCCATGCTATGGGGCAGCTATATAGAGCAGCTGTGGGGCAGCGCTATGGGGCAGCGCTATGGGGCAGTGCTATGGGGCAGCTATAGGGCCATGTTATGGGGCAGCTATGGGGCAGCTATATGGGGGCAGCTATGGAGCATTGCTATGGAGCATTGCTATGGTGCAGCGCTATGGGGCAGCGCTATGGGGCAGCGCTATGGGGCAGCTATATAAGGCAATGCTATGGGGCCACGCTATGGGGCAGCTATATAGGGCAATGCTATGGGGCCATGCTATGGGGCAGCTATATGGCACAGCTATGGGGCAGCTATATAGGGCAGCTGTGGGGCAGCACTATGGGGCAGCTGTGGGGCAGTGCTATGGGGCAGTGCTATGGGGCAGCTATATGGGGGCAGCTATAGGGCCATGCTATGGGGCAGCACTATGGGGCAGCACTATGGGGCAGCTATATGGGGGCAGCTATGGAGCATTGCTATGGTGCAGCGCTATGGGGCAGCGCTATGGGGCAGCTACATATGGCAGCGCTATGGGGCCATGCTATGCAGCAGCGCTATGGGGCAGCTACATGGGGGCAGCTACGGGGCAGCGCTATGGGGCCATGCTATGGGGCAGCTATGGGGCAGCTATACAGGGCAGCTGTGGGGCACGGCCCCATATAGCTGCCCCATAGCTGCTATATGGGGCAGCTGCGGGGCAATGCTATGGGGCAGCGCTATGGGGCAGCTATATGGGGGCAGCTATAGGGCCATGCTATGGGGCAGCTATATGGGGGCAGCTATGGGGCAGCTATATAGGGCAATGCTATAGGACCATGCTATGGGGCAGCTATATAGCACAGCTATGGGGCAGCGCTACGGGGCAGCTGTGGGGCAGCTATATAGGGCAGCTCTGGGGCCGCGCTATGGGGCAGTGCTATGGGGCAGCTATAGGGCCATGTTATGGGGCAGCTATGGGGCAGCTATATGGGGGCAGCTGTGGGGCATTGCTATGGTGCAGCGCTATGGTGCAGCGCTATGGGGCAGCGCTATGGGGCAGCTATATGGGGGCAGCTATGGAGCATTGCTATGGTGCAGCGCTATGGGGCAGCTATAGGGCCATGTTATGGGGCAGCTGTGGGGCAGTGCTATGGGGCAGCTATATAGGGCCATGCTATGGGGCAGCTATGGGGCAGCTATATGGGGGCAGCCATGGAGCATTGCTATGGGGCAGCGCTATGGGGCAGCGCTATGGGGCAGCTGTGGGGCTGACCGTCGGGGTCGCTGCCGTCGCTGCCGTCGGAGCTGAGCTCCAGGTCGTCCTCCAGGTCGTGGATGCGCAGCTCGCCGCCCTTGCGGGCCTTCTTCTCCTTCTCCTCCTCCTCCTCGTCGCCGTGGTCCCGCAGCCGCCGCTGCTGCATGATGCTGAAGTGGTTCAGCACTTTGTTCCTCCTGTGGGGCGCAGCGGGTCAGCGCTCAGCACACAGCCCCACATCTGCCCCACATCTGCCCCACATCTGCCCCACAGCCCCACCTCCTGCCCCCCAGCCCCCCATCCTGCCCCACATCCCCCTCATCCTGCCCCACACCCCTCCATCCTGCC